GAAATCAGTAGTAGAAATCGGTCTCACCTAAAAAATGCAATAAGTGTATGAACAAAATTCAGGAAACTTCTCTCGATATTGTCGTTGGTTGTAAACCCCGCAAATTATCGTAATCCTTATTCAATGCCTCGCGTGAAATATATGTCTTTCTTTTTTGTTGATCACCCAGAATTACACGTACATCAGCTTTGAAGCCCCGAAAGCTTTCAATTTTCTCAATTGATATGCGATCAGCATTCGATATTTGAAGAGCTTTTATCGGTGTACAATCTCCGAGGGTTTTAGGCAATTCATAACCGGTTAATCACCATTTACGAGTAAGCAAATTCATTTCCGTCTAACTTCCGACAAGAACTGGGTTGCTCCAAGAACAACTGGATTATTCTTTGCAGGTCCATTTCCATGACAGGCATACAACAAATACATTATATTGAGAGGATTGTTTAGGATTTTTGGGGAGCATAAGGGACAACAAATTCTGCAGGAATCACTGAGGCAAAAATAATCTCAAAAAGAGTTCACCTGTATATAGCCAGAACACTGCTTATGAACCTCATCACGGAATAGAATGGATCGCGCTTGTTGTAATCGCTTGCAAACTTCCACACACACAAATTTGAAATTTGACCTGTAAGTAGCTGGTTCTTGATCATATCCCACAACTCTGATAACTTTGAAAAAAAAAATAACGAAAGAAAAAAATGTGATGATCACTTCAGAAAAGTGAAACGCACGGGCTGCAGCTTGACGCGTTGGCTGCGGCGGAGTGAAACTCACGCTGGACGAACGGGAAACTTTTTGGTCATGCCGAGTCGCCGGAAAAGCAGCCGATGCATGAAATACCGCGGCTTTGCTGCACAGAGCATCAATTGTCTATACCACTGAGAGACCATCGGGAGTCTTCTTTCTTGAGAAAGAAAAATTTTTACTTTCCCGTCGAGACCACAGGCTCGTAGACTTTTAGAGGCATCGCAACACAACAAAAACAAGTGCAGTACCTACCGCAATTTACTTGAGTACCACGCGCTCGTTTTTTTTTTCAAGAAAACAAAAACAGCGGCAAAAAATTAGATGAACATCATATATAGTTGAGCCCAAAGTTTCAAAATTTTTAACTTCAAAATTTCCCATCCCCACGCGAAAATCTTTTCGAACTTCTCGTTTCTTTAATGATTATTTATTTTTCATAAGAGAAAACATAATTTACATTGATGGAAAATTTTTGCTGTGCCCTTTTACTTAGATTTTTACCCCATCTAGTTTTTGAAACGGAAAACGATGGTGCGCCTCTCAAGGAATTCCAACAAAATCCTGCATTCGTAAAATTGCGTTTTGTATTTTCCGAGACCAACGAAAGGTATGAATTGTATCGAATTGATGGGACCCAACTGGGATAAAATACACACAGCATTGAATGAAACGCGGTTTGAGCTCAGCAGCATGAACCTCGAATTCAATTTTCATAATCCGGGATGTGCTGATATACTGCTGATTCACATAAATTATTGCTGCTGACGCAGAAGACATGCGAACTTATCTAAGTAATGCGGAAAATACAAATCCTGATACAATTCTGAAAGAACGAGCATCAAATGTGTTTCACTTAACTTAGAATAATATCACGTAATGTTTATAGAATTTTGAGGCACGTGTTTTCAATTTCGCTTCACAAAAGATAGATTTTATAAATCAATTGCGCCTCAGATTGCATGAAACCTGCTGTAGCTGACGGTGAGGTGCAGAAATCTGCGGTAATTGTAGTGATTATGATATAATTAAGCAATGAAATATATTTCCATGGCTGAGTAAGAATCTTTTCAAGCGCGATCTGGATCAAATTCTGCAAATAAAAAATCGAAGTGGAAATGTGAGGAATGGCCATTTTTCTCCCGGAAGTTTAATTTTTTCGAAATTCAATCGAACTATTTATCTTCAAGGACTTTATTCATGCAGGGAAGAAAATTCAAGTGCGCTTCAATTTTAGATTTCATTCATCGGCATTTGGCAAAAGGTTTCATGCTTTCCCTATATAGTATTTTGTGTGTGTTTCTGATAGTTTGTAAATGAGCATTCGTGTTCCTTAGAATCCCGAAAGAGATTTTTATTACTTCGATTGAGAAGTATGGAAAAATAAGGGTGAGCCTCGGAATGTTCGGCGTATGTCTTCGCATAAATAAGGATTCATCACCTGTTTCATGCTGGAGGAAGTTACCTGTATATGGAAAGTGGAGCAACTGCGACTTACTGATTCCGAGATATCAACAAGTCGGATGTCGCAGTCGAATTTGCGCCATCTGGGACAATAATAAAACTTGAAAGACTCGACTAATTTTTTCCGCGTCTATACTTCTGTCCAGCACCTATACACGAGAGGACGTGTTGCGACAGTAAACCATTCCTCCAAAGACTAACGACTCTCTCCCCGGAAATTTGCATCCAACCACGACGTCATGTTTCACTGTTGAAAAGAAAATGACAGCCGGGTTGGCGAAAATTTCCCTTTCGCGAACTGTTAACTGACGTTATAAAATTAACTTCCTCTTAGCGGGTTAATTTTCGCTCTCCAACTTCCTCCAGGATATTCTTCGCACTTCGCCGTGAGTTCCTTTGCTTGACCGACTGCAGGGGAAATAATAGCACCAATTTTATGCACTGAATTGTTTTACTGAATTACTGTTCGCCGTTTTAAAGGGTACTTCGAGGAGTAATTCGGTACTTCTTTATTTTAAGGAACATACTACCAAATTGCGTAACTTTCTCATAGTGACGCCTTGTTCTAAACATTTGGGAGTTTCTGAGGGCCAGGTGACGCTGTGTTAATTATTGCCATGTACTAAATATACGCAGCTGAAAATTTCGGCGTATAACGCATCAAGATCAAGAGAACCGTGACGCATCCGGTGGGGCACGCGTGTACAGCAAGTCATGGCCCAAAAATGGTGGGTGTTCATGAAGTTTCTAAAAATACTACAGCGAGGTACGGGACTCGTTTAAAAAACGGGCCCAGTTTAGTGTGAAAATTTTTTAATCTAGCGGATACATTCCCTTTTTTTTATACTGGCGCCATTCCGTTTGTATGCGCTCCGCTAAAAAATAGTAATACAGTATTTGCACTGCAAATCATATGCTCACAGGTTGCGTATTAAGAAATGTTTCTCCTGTAGCAATTAAAATGAGTGCATCATAAACTTATTGCTGTATGCATGCATGTTAGCTTGGAAGCATGCATCGCAATCTTTTATGGCCTGGATGCCATTTAGTCCACCATTTGTTTGCTTCATTTTCCGCGAGAACACGGAGGCTTAAAGAATATGCTCCTCGATCAGCATTATATGATGCATTTGTTCAGCATCAGCGAGATGGATGAGTGGTCTATAATTGCAATCAAAATTTAAGGAACGCATCAACGTCAACCTCCAAATTCAGCGCAATGTAATTGATTTCTAGCTTATTCTATAACTGAAACCTGAACCATTTATAGATAGACCTGAGTGAATAGCAGATACGTTTCCTTCACAATTTCTGAAGACCAGCGCTGCAAGTCACGTAATCTATGCTCAAAAGATCTATGCTGTATATATTTATATGCATGGTCTCTTATTCATTGCAGCAATTTTATTTAACACAGTACAGTACATGACTTAAAGGGGATGATCTCGCGTATTAATAGCACACATTCCATAAAATAGGCAGAAAATCGGCCATCCTCATCAGATAGAAGTAAAGACTACGAGTCTACAACATCACTTGTGCGAGTACGGGCGCCGTTGCGCTGTAAAACCCAGTCTGCTGGATGCATGTGATGTCATGTACCTCAGCTTTCGGCAGTTGACTCATGCCAGCTGTTCCTGAGGTAACAGCAACGCTATCCACTCCCCCACCTCGTTTCCGCCGCGGCGGATGCACGGCGTATTGAACCTCTGACCCCCCTTGCGTTTAGCCTCCAGGTGCTGCTGCATGGTTTCAATGCCATGGCTTCATGTTCACGGTTCGCAAACAACAGGGGTACGAGGGAATGACAGGAAGTTGGCTGGGGTAAGAATTAAGGGAGCAATCCTCGTGCCCGGATGATGATCGAAATCCTGCCCGAAGTATCGCAGAAGTCGACCAATTCACCCCCCCCCCTCTCCCCGATGAACACCAGCAGAAAACTTCTTGATGCATAAAACTTGATCACTTGAATTTCGTCGCCTCATAGTTTAGGCACGCTGAAAGAAGGAGTATTTTTACGAAGCAGTGCACATGCTGTTTCATGCATGCAGAAGTTCCTGAAAATGGAAATAACCCCGGAAAAAGCATCCCTGCACCAGCGGGAAGACTGCTTGGGGGGGGGGATGAATTATCAACACACGGCGTATGATGACATGTTTACGAGTTCATGTCGGAGCATTTTCGAGGTTGGATTTTTGTCAAGACTCCGCACTTCCGCAGGTACTGGACTTTTGTACTGTGCCATGTATCCTCGTGCAAGATGCAGACCAGCACGGTTTTCAGTATAAGAAAGTGGGAAAACTTTCGCTTTAATCCCAGTTAAATTCGCATTATAATTCCTAGACGCACAGCTAAATTTTCTTACCAAATTTTGAGAAACTTCTGTGCATGATATCCGATTAACCGGACTAAGATTAGGGAACAAAAAAAAGTTAAGATTTTTTTTTACTTCGGGAACCATTCACACCCCCAAAAAAATTTGCCGATGCGATAGCAGAATATACGAACAACTGTATGGTGCTGTACTTTAAATCTTTAAATCGGGAATTTTCGGACAACTCAAATCGTAAGAAATTCTATGCACGGGATTTTCGGCGGAGCTTCAGCACTCGCGCACGGGCTTCCTTGTGATAAATGTAAAACTTCGATGCGAAGTTGTCACTCAGTCAGGCATCACTGAAAACTGACCTCATATTTTACGTTTTTTTTTTCAGAGGATTAGTTCTTTTGCGGGGGCGATAAAACCGCGTCTCCGAAAATTTGAACCGTGGATGAAGTCAGCGAAGGCATTTCTTTTTTACAAAATGATACACGATGTATTTGAAATCTTGATCAGGATATACACTGCGAGAATCTCAATGCTCCACTAAAAATAAATGAAGATACGATTCGAATGATAAAAACGGGGCGTGAATCCCAGCGTGATAAAGCGAAGAGCGTTTAGGTGCTATCTGTGCAAAGAACGAGTGCAGGACGCAAAAAGAGGGAAACAGAAAATCATCATGCAACTTTGTACGCGGCAGATCAGAAATTTAATCAGGCCTTCTGAAACTACATTACTACTCAACTCCACGCGAGACAATCAAAGTCACACGCGTTTGAAATCTTCCTTCGATCACAATCAACCTTATCTTTCCCCTATACATAATCCCCTTCATGAAATCACACAACGCCTCAAGCAAATGGCGAATGGCTAAGACATCTTGACATGCGACGGATTTTTCGGAACGACAATAGAACAGGTGCGCCCGCAAATTACAACCGTAGAAGCTGGAAAAATAAATTCAAATTCTGCCTCGTACTTTTTTTAGATTTCGAAGGGGCTTCATTGAATATGCTCAGGTTCGACTTGCTCTATCTCAGGCCCCGCGAATTCCACTTCTTCTAATGCTTCAACTTCTTCACGGAGGATTTCTTGGTCTTCTTCAGGGTCAAGATGTTCTCGTTGCAGAACGACACTTTCTGTAATTGAAAAAATAGAAGTGCTCGTGAAGAATTCCAGAAGACTACTGAAGAGCATTAACATTGAATCAACATAGCCCTCGCATCACGAAGTCGGCATGCGCTCAATTATAATCTTGATAGTAAAAAAAAAAACTTACGCCACAAGCCTTAGCCCGGCTCATCTTGGCACAGTAATACTTCGGTCCTAATTCGCAGTTTTCCACGTTAGGGTCGATCTGAGCCATTCCGGGAATTGCGTCACACATATCGATGTAAGAACACAACTCTTGCGGCTTTTTCAAAGTTGCGATGAGACTAACGACGTAGGGACCATAATCCTCCATTATGTCCCGACACTATTCAAATAATCCAATCGGCGTTAAATTTCGGAAGATGAAAAATCAGGAAGACGAGCTTACTTGACCCTTGTACTTCTTGCCAACTCCTTTCGGCAAATACTTGCACAGCTTTTCCAGGTCATCTCCAATTGCATGATCGATTCTGTCGTCGGAAATAATTTCCTCCAAAAAGCCCATCAAATCCTTGCAAATGAGACAACGCATCGTCTCCTTCTGGATGCGGAAGTTTTCTTTACCTGCAAATCGAGATGATAAAAAAAATATTAATCCTCGTCCCGGATTAAGAACAAAAATGTCGACCCATTTGACTCGGACAATAAAATTGAAAGAGAAACTACATTACGGACAACCCGTGTCCGTTCAGTCGAATAACTCGCAGTTTATGACATGACAAAAACAGAAGGCATTTATTCATGAGAAATTTACATCGTACAATATAAACGAAGGTCAGGTAATTCAAACCAAGGCAGCTCACCGTGAGTGGGACGAGAAGCGCATAACGCGATGACGGAACAGGCCTCATGAGGAGGAACGTTCTCCAACGTATCAATAATGGCTTTGAAGTACTGGGCGACGAAATTGTCGCAATCGGTGCGAATGGTCTTCGGTAAAACACTACAGACCATCTTCAAATTCGCTTCAATATTTTCCTCGGTCGCATTGTTCTTCAACATTTCATCCAATTGGCGCATGATAAATTCGCAAAGGATGCATCCAGGAGTCGCCAACGCCCTTTCAAGCTCAGTGCTTTCCTTCGTCGATGCGACCAAATCTTCCACTGTCAGGTCCGTCTTTTGATCTACAGAATAAAAAAATTTGAAATTCAATAAATTTACTGTACAGTACTTCATTCGAAGTAAAGAGGCTTCAGAACTATAATAGGAAGAGTTTCTTGAAACGATAAGAGCAAGAGTTCCTTGAAACGCCTTAAGAACACACTCGACTCCATACGAAATTGGAATGTAGGGTGTCGAAAAACTGTAAAATTGATGAAAAAATGGGTAATTCAAACACAGTAAGTTTGTATCATTTGTATCACCCCAAACACTTCGAACGCTCAACTCCCAGAACTTCCAGAATGGATTTGCAAATGAATCGTCCAGACAAATCGTCGGGCCTCCGAGGGGATTTATAGAATTTGGCCAAGTTGAAAGAATCTTAAATATTGAAACTACTATGAGGTAAGGGCATGGATAAAGCTGGAGCTGAAAGGAAGGCCGCGTACAGTTGGTACCTGATCAGGTAGAACGTGAACATAATCTTCTCAATTAACTCACCCATGATTGCTGGCTTCGGAGGAGTGCACAACATCAAATAACGGCAAGTTTGCTGTGGAGTAAGATTGAGAAGAACAGCGTCGATGACTTCTGCAGAATAAGCGTCGACAAACAATCGACATTCTCCAACGACTTTATCCGGGAGCCGATCGCACAACGAATCCAAAGCCTCGCGAACTTCATCTTGAGTTGCATTTTCCCCCAGGATTTGCTGCAACGTTCCGACGGCATATTCACAAATGACGCAAGTGACGGTTTCTTGCTGCGGTGCCAAGTTCGCCTCCAAATCATAGGAAACAATTTTGGGGAATTCTCCACCGTCGAGGGAGAAAATTTCGATTTCGATACCCTCTGGGCAAAGATTCAACTTTGGACAAACCTGCGTGCAAAGGTATACTCCAAGTTGAGGAATTTTATCACGCCACACGAACATTTTTCAACTCACACTCGCTGGGTCAATTTTTTGCACCAGAAGTTCAATGGCGAAGCTTCCATATCGTTCAACAAAGCCGCGACATTGTTGGTCAATGCCGGTAGGCAAGCGATCGCAAATGTTTTCAACGATGTTCTTGATTTCATCCTGGTAATCCAAAAATACTGTACATTAAATCACCGCCAACGTCAACCAGGGGATTTAGGATACCTGAGTTTGTCCGTCTGACAGCTGGTTTTCAATCTCATGCAGAACAGTTTGGCAGATAGCGCATGATTCGGATCCAGCAAGTTCTATCGGACTCGGAAGCTTATTCTCAGGTAAGGGCTGCGCGGTGGATTCACTCATTGGGTTGATAACTGCGAGAAAAGGCTGTTGGGTACACAACCTCTCTTTCTTTCCCATAGTTTGGACTCACCAACGTTAACAGGCAGCAGCGGATGACGAATAGCATCCGGAATGTTGTCAAACCAAGAGGCGTCACTTTCCAAAGGCCCATCCTTCACCAAACCACCCCTGTCGTAAATTTGGGGCTGAAGGTTAACTTTGCTGGAGATCGGAGCCGCGATCTCTTCATCGTTGACGGGGAGGACAGGCCAAACATCTGCCTGAAAAGGGGTAGTAGCAAATGGGGGTGTTGCAGGAAATTTATTTCAACAAAATTTACAATGCATGGAAATGAATGGTCTGTACATACTTCCAAATCTCCAGTTGAAGAACAAAATCCGATGTCTTTGCAGATCACCTTTGGCTGGAACTGGTGTATCAGCCAGTCGTACAGGGGTACGTAGTATTGATCCACAACATCTCGGCACTGAAATCAATGATTCAATTCATTTTTATGAACCAAAAGCATTTCATTAGTACTGAACTGTAATTGGTCGCGAAAGAACAGAACTAAAACGCTTAAATTTCTTCACAAAATCCCCCCGACGACAGCAGGAAAGAATTTTCGAAAGTAGCTCATCGTTCCAAGAATTCAATGCCCAGTTGCTAACGCTGTGCAACAAGCTATATTCACATGAGCCAGACCTGGTTTTTCTTACCTGGTCAACCAAGAAGCCTACTTCCGTACATACGTCCAGCAAAAGCTCCTTGAAATCTTCCTCAGTTGAATTCAGAACCAAGATTGACCGCCAGTTGTTCAACGTATCCGTACAGACTTCGCACGTGTCTTCATTTTTCAAAACCCCACGCTTGTTCGAATCAGGTTGCATGCACTTATTCGTCAACTGACACAGGTCCACCGGCTTCAATCGATTCTCAATCCACGTCCTCATTTTGTCGAAATGAGCCATGACAAGCGCTGAGCAGCTGCTCGAGTAAGAACCGAACTCTCCACAAACCTATAAAAACGTACGCGACAATTTTCACCGATAGAAACGTTTTCTACGCAGAAAATATGCAGTACAGTACTGTACTACCAACCATGAATAAGCGATCCATAACATCAACATCCGTCATTGCTTTGAAGTGAATCGCCAACTGGCCCATCTTAGCTTGGCAAACGTCACATTCGTTGTAGAAAATCTCGGTGTCGTCGTTGAGGTTTACAAAAGGTCCAGATTCTTCAATTTTCGGAGCTTGTTGGCTTTTTGTTTCAGCAATACCTTCATCGATCTTCTTGTTATTGCAGAAACGGGCAGCGGTGCACAAGGACAATGGTTCAAGCGTGGACACAACGAGACGCTCGATTTCGAATTCGTAGCCTTCGGACAGGGAGACACATTCCGCGACAATCCACGCATATGGCGACTTTTTGCAATTGTCTTGGAACATATCTCGCACAGATTTCTGCAAAAACAGCGAAGTCGCGAATCACATCATCATTCGGTCACGGAGGCTTCCCCACGCGAGGACTCACCCCAGGTTTCCCTTTCTTCAAAAAATCCCGAGCTTCAGTAACGAACTCCTTACACTGATGACACGGGACGTCCGAATCTTCGGGATACTTTTGAGCTCCCCACACAGCTTGAATGCAATGTTCCATTGCGTTACATGTCTTCGCATTTCTAGAAAGCAGAACGATTAAATTTAAATTATGTAAAGCATTCCAAATAGTCCACTTACTTCAAAGTAGAGCACCACATCTTCGGTCCATCGGAACAGTTTTCTTCGCTCGCCACCAAAGCAGCTGAAATATTAAGTAAAATGAGCAAATCGGATCGGTCACGGGATTCAGCAGAACTTACTAGCGACGAATAGAATCGAGACAGCGAGGATGCGCATAATTCTATCAATACAGAGCCTGGAAACAAAGAAAAAGGAATGTCAAAAACGCACAAGACTTCGTAATAACAAAGAATCAAGACACTGTTGATCCTACAAAACCCGTTGTAATAAAATCCGGCAGGGGTGCAGCGGTCGCATGTTCGCACGGAACACCCAATGCAAAAGGCACTTGGGGAAATGAATCACATAATCATTCCTCATTCAAATCACATGCACAACCCTTTCACCAACTCGGGACCAAAAGAAATGGATAAGATCAGAATAAAGCCAGGGATTCGGGAAGTGTCACGTACGCTACTCAGAAGCAGATTCCTTTGCGAATCGTCTATAATCAAAGCTATCATAACTAGACACAGGTTTATCAATAATCACGACGCCAGCATAACTACGTCCTTGTCGCATTCGATGAGGCAACATCGTCCAAGTGTCAGTTTCAGGATTGTATACTTCAACAGTAGACAAGTTCGAGGATCCATCGTCTCCTCCGACAACGTACAGCAAACCATTCAGCGAAACCACGCCTGGAAGAAATTTTTCATGCATGAAAGCGAAATTTATTCTCGAACTTACTGTAAAGTCTCAAACAAATGGGATGTTTCCCTTCATAATACAATACTAACCGGCATTCCGACGACATGACGCCATTTCGGCCACAGGATACCAAACGTCGCGCTCAGGATTATACGCATCCACACTGTTCCTTACCAAAGGACCATCATGACCGCCAACGGCGTACAAAATCCCATTGCAAACGCCCACACCTTTGAAAAATAAAATAATTTCAGAAAATCGATCATGATTCATGAAAGAAAATGACTTCGCACGGTATCACGTACCAGCCCCACTGCGACGTGCGGTCATTTCGGCCACCATAGTCCAAGCATTCGTCTCCACATTGTAGCACTCAACAGAACTAAGACACTGGCGAGACACACCGTCGTATCCCCCGACCTGTAACAAAAAATGTTTTCAAATGAGAAACCTCGAAAGTGCTCCGTAGGAGGAGGTCTTTTCACAACGTCGACAACCTAATCAAAAAACCAAGAAGCACCTGGCCTTCTCACCTGGTACGCAATTAATTATAACCGACACGATGTTCAGTGCATCTCTTTGCTTTGGGTTATCATAGTCATGGCGGAAGCTAGACTTCACCGATTCCAGTCCGCAAATATCTCAAGACGAGCAATACAAAATTTTTCAAATATAATTCAGTGAACATATACAGATTCGGGAAACTTGCAAATTAACCGAAAAAGTACTGTACCACGAGAGCATTAACCAATGCAATTAAAACCAGATTTAACGTTATTACGTGTAGTTGCTAGAATATGAAGGCAATATTCTCTCATGCGTCAGAACTTGAACTTCAATATTGAGAGTACCGTGCGTGCGATCAGCACTAAAACTCGAATGAAGGAATTCTGAGAAATTTGCACAGGGGTTGACGCAACAGTAAAATGTCGCACTTCTGAAAAAAGTGGTGAATGTCACGGTTAAAGTTGGGTGACGTACATATCGGAACAGTAAAAATGTTCGAAAAAAAACACACCGCATATAAGAGATTCCCCATGACTCCAACGCCTACGGATGATCTCCGCAGAGACATAGCAGCAATGCTTCGCCATTCCCCAGTTTTCGGGTCACACACTTCTCCGGAACTCAGTCCGGAGGAACCATCAAAGCCACCTATTGCATAGACTAGTCCATTCACGACAGCTACTCCCAATGTAGACCTGCGAGCTTCCATTGGTGGCATGGCTGACCAACTATCCGTCGTAGGATCGTACGCATCAACTGCACGAATCCTCAAAGAACCATTAAAACCACCAACAGCCCACACCTATCACGGTGAAAGTGAAGAAAATGTATCAACTGGGGATCTTGATTTCACATTAGAATGATTAGATTACCTCATTTCCGACAACGACGAGACCAGCTCTACAACGGCGTATTGGCATTTCTTGGACCATTGTCCATTGGCATTCTGTGAAATCGTAGCATTCCACACTTCTTATGGCTTTAGGTGCTTGTCCACCCACGACTAACATCATCTTCGGCGATCCAACAGGCTGCCGCGGTCGCGTTCGAATAGATCTGAAGAGATAAGTCAAGATATGTTTCCAACAAATTAAATCGGTCCAAATCAGGCATTTTTCTAACCCACCTAAAGGCGCGCTTCTGGCTATCACGAAGTAAGTGATACTTCAGCGCCTCTATCAGAAAATCTTTGCACGCGGATGATTTCTTCAGCAATGGTTCAACCTCCACTCGTTGAACCAAATAATCTTTTGAAAGCAGGGGAAGACGCACATGCTCCATCAACTCGGGTAGATTTTGGAGTCTTTCTTCGATGTCATGTTGTACCCATTCTATAACACACTCGAACACCTGGAACTTGATTGATTAGCCTCAAGAAAACAAGCTTTTCACAACATGCCTGTCACCTTTTCTTCCGAAGAAACCGACAAACGATCCGACGATATAAGCTCACACACTTGCAGCCCCTTCAGCGCAAGGAATTCGTCCGTTTCGACCACTTCGCTGAAAAAGCATATGGGATGAAGAGATTTCTTCCCACGGGATGGTAACCAACTAGAACCACGGCATGAAACTTACTCAAAATGCATTTCAACGTAGGCCTGTGCTGATGTGCACAGATCTTGACAGCCATGAAGGTCTGCAAATGATCTTATCCCCAAACAGTTAGATGGATGAAGTTGGCCCAGCAAAAATTCACAGCAAACATCACGCACAGCGGTAAGCTGCAAAATGTTCGCAGCCGGTAAGAGATTCTGAAAAATATGTGCATATGATGATCTCCAAGATATAAAGAACTTCAATGAATACCAACAAACCTGAACGTTTTCTTCCGTGACTTTAATTTCAGACGAGTAGACGTATTCAACAAGAAGGCGCAAAGCATCAGCGTCGATTTCACCAATTGTTATCTTGTCTAAATTTTTTTCTTCGAAGTCTTTGAACATGGCAAAGAAGTAAGGACTAGATGCAGCAAGAACCAGTTTGTGGGCCGGAATTTCCGCTCCTCCAGCTACGAGAACCACGTCGCACAACATCCGCTCCCTGTCCGTTGATATGTCATGCTTCCGATCTTCACATTAGTCAAAGCAACTGACTCACCCTCGCAGTAATTGCATTCCTTCCAGTAGTTTCCTCGCATGATGCTTGTTCTTACACGGAGACCGATCCAATGACGACCCCTTCTTACTCAGGGGTTTCTGCGAACTTTCGTCCAACGAGCTTTGGGAAGCATTCCTCAGCAGCAATCTATTCCCAGAGAAAGTAATTTTGAATCTCCAGAAATCACTGAACTGGAATGCGTCGCCAAATAGCAAATACAGTACAGTCTGCGACCTCATTCCCAATGAAAAAAATTGCATTTCTATTGAAATCTCACCGGCCGATATTCTGCCCGTATGTACTCTCGGTTTCCGGGTTATGCATATCAAGCACCCCGATCACTTCGGATCACAGCGCAAAATTGCCTCCCATCAGGAGAGACCACATCGAGTACTGCAAATAAGAAGTTCTTCTTGACGCGAGATCGAATTTCGCGGACATCGTGGAATTTGCTTCCGTTTGGACACAAATTGCGAACTCAATTCAGACAAACAACATGAGAGAATCGTCGGAACTTCGATACAGTGATAAAAGAATCCCCAGCATTAACTAAGATCACTATTGGTCGCTGTCACTAGGTATAATGTCGAGACATCTCCTTCAGCTTGTCTTTGGAGGTGAGAGCAACATAGAGGGCCGACACTCCGAGTCCTGCCAGTCCACCCATCGCACATCGTTTCAAGCCCGCTGGAATGACCGTGAAAAACATTAAATACAATTGAACGAACATAAATGCTGTGCGAACACAGGAACTTTTGTGAACCGTTGAACAACGATGAAATTGCATTGAGCTCTCACCTGAACATTTATACAGAAGCCCGGTGGAAGTACCTGCAGCTAACGTGTTCAACTCATCATCCACACCTCTGCCATAAGACAGAAGAACTCCGAAACCACTATACATGACTGCCAGGACTCCAAGAACGTTCGCACTGGCGGAGCCTCGTTTGAATACGTAATTTAAAAGCCTGCAACCAGGTTGCACGAAATTAACTGAAAAAGAATCCTCCTTAAACACTCACTGAGTTCTACGTATGGCTCCCGAATGACCAGCGAGGGCAGTATCTCGAAGGCCAGCATAAAGACCATTTACACCGCCAGCAGCCGCACCTACCATCACAGAACCACCGATCTGGGAAAACGCCAACTCGAATCGGCCACGTTTGTGCGATGCGCCTTCAGGGAAAATGAATTCTGGCTGGCCCGTGGGAGAAATGAAAGCCGGATCGAAGTTCAAATACGGGGACAAAGACCCCACGTTTGGGCTGGCGGTCACTGGAAGCGAAATGAAATCATGGAATCAAAACATGCAATTCTGGAGCCTGGGTTTACAACGTGAGCAAAGAAGCACGCAGACCCACCACAACCTACAAACCTGGGATGGAAGGCTCGTAGAAAGAAAACATGGAAGATCCGTCTCCATCGTTCGCTTTATCCATCACCACTTCACAAACCTTCGAGAATTTCTGAAACACCAGAAGTTAAAAATACATGTTCAGTCATGACCGAGGTATACTGAACGCGCAAGAAACGACGATAATCTGAACGCGACTTGATCACAAAGAACCGCATGCCACTTCCTGGTTTCAGCTCTCGCAGTGACGCGCGGAGTATAGACCCTTCGCCAGGTTAACAAGATTTCACCGAAAATTGGAAACGACCTCTAATTGCGCAACAGATCACATCACGACACGCGCCGCTATTCGATATTCGCAGAACAGACAACACGGGGAGGCAGTTTCGATTGATATCTCGCTAGGTATTACTGAGTATCCCGGCTGACTCGTAGCAGGAGGACTCGGGTAGTAGGTGAAGGGACTGAACTACGAGTCTTACTTTTCAAACCGCGTAACTTTACAGGGAAGACAAAGAACGAGGCGGACATCCACAGCGACGATTTCTCTGAGTAACAAAACCCCGCTTTCTCAATGATGAACCATCCATGTTATACTGCACGTAATACAGCAGTACTGTACTGCTGTACAGTATATCTGAATTCCGTTTAAGAGGAATCGAGGCAATGTAAAAATATAAACCTCCATATAACTGATGTAAGACTCTACCCGCCCCCCCCCCAACCTCCCAACTCCATAATTTTTGAATTTCAAAAGAAGCCTTTGGTCTGTTATTCTATGGGAAGGCAGTAAGAGGAAGAGCGATGTAGAATAACTCAACTTGATGCTTTTCAAAATGAATTTATGATAATAAGTCAAATGAACCCTCGCCTCCAATAAGTGCAGTACAGTATCATCTCCTCAAATCATTTATCCATGAGTTTAGGGCTGAGAATATCGCACCAATTTTACCCTCATTATTAAATTCTTCATGATTTGTTAGCATTTTTCAGATTAAAAAAAATCTATTCGACTTAGCTCACACCTGAGTTGGGAAGAAGAATTGCATTGAACAGGAAAGCATATACACATGCTGTACTGCTGTATTCGAGATTCAAAATAAATTGATACCCTTTTTTTGGAATTCTCTCCATGGACTGGAAATATTCATTCCCGGATCCTGAACGTGCAAATTTAAAAAAGAATAAATTGTAGTGAAATGTGGTGAGTGGGTTTATAACGGGGTCCCCGGGACACGAAAGCCTGGGACATGGAATCCCCGCGCGACGATAGCACTGACACGAAATCCCCGCCACAAATGTCTCTATCCGTCCTTCCATGTGATGAAAGCCCCGAATTTTTTTTTAATACTGGTAGTTTTCCGTAGTCATTGGTGGAAATGTGTTCATTTACAAAAAATTAATAGTCTTTGAAATATTTTCCAAGAAATCCGAACGTTCAATAAGTTGGCTTTGATAATCTTTGCACAATTGACGCAGTTCTTTCTGGCGATATCTCTCAACAGTCTACACTTGCTTATGTGGAATGGCCCCATCTTCGTCAAATTTCTTCAGCGTTGTAGCAACTAATGCAGCATCTTGTTTCAGGCAGCGAATTATTAACCAAATGGTGGGATTTTTATTTCCAACCAGGCCATTGAAATAGCAATTCCAGGCTTCACTGAAATTTTTTGTCGCGCCAAGATCATTGAGCACAGCCTGATGAATGTTCCACTTCTGTGGCAGAAATGTTGGGGGTCTCCCTTCACAGTTCAAAGTTTGGGTACACTTCGATACTGCCCCCCAACTTAACCGTACAGCGCACAGCCAGGCACGGCGAATGCCCGCAGTATCCTCACCGCAAGTCTACATGCGTCATACAGGTGTCGCTCGAATAATTCAATCAACAATTCAAGTTTCATATCATTAATTCATATGATAATTAAAATGCCTTTGAGGAATAGGA